GTATAGTATAGTATAGTATATTATAGTATAGTATAGTATAGTATAGTATAATATAGTATATAGTATAGTATAGTATAGTATAGTATAGTATAGTATAGTATATAGTATATAGTATATAGTATAGTATAGTATAGTATAGTATAGTATAGTAGTAGTACTATAGTAGTAGTAGTAGTAGTAGTAGTAGTAGTAGTAGTAGTAGTAGTAGTAGTAGTAGTAGTAGTAGTATAGTAGTAGTAGTAGTAGTAGTAGTAGTAGTAGTAGTAGTAGTAGTAGTAGTAGTAGTAGTAGTGGAAGTAGTATAGTAGTAATATATATATATATATATATATATATATATATATATTAGCTGGTAGCATTATAATAGCCATAGCAGTAGCAGTATAGCACTATTGTCGTAGCTTTTTTTGTAGCTATATATAGTAGTAGCTACAGTAGTAGTAGTAGTAGTAGTAGTAGTAGCAGTAGCAGTAGTAGTAGTAGTAGTAGTAGTAGTAGTAGTAGTAGTAGTAGTAGTAGTATTGCTACATTAAATATATAGTAGTATATTCTGTAGTATAAAGTATATATATCGCATGCAGTGTATATAGATGTATAGTCTACATATACATAGCAGAATAGCATATATATATATAGCATGGTTAGTATTGATAAAAGCGATATGTGTGATAATAGGTGTAGCTCATATTGCATGCCTGCGGATCATCGACCTCCAGCACGATCCATCGGCCATAAATCATGACCCATATCACAGGCCACACTCCTTGGCTTAGTGCTCAAGGGTTGAGGCGGTCGGGACGAGAGTTCAGGTTTAAGGGTTAAGGGTGAAGGCCAAGCAGACGAGCCACCAGTGTAGTTTCGATACATCATCGTGCGAAGCACCCAGTTGGCATACTCGGATATGCAGCAGGAATCAGTCAAGACCGGGGTGTTATGCGTGGAGCGGATGGGGGTTTTATCGTAGGGATACATGCACGTCGAGTGCTGGATGTTGCATTTGAGGGTTTACTGATTGCATCTATACTAGCGAAGCCAAGTCACAAGCATCCCAGGATCAATCAGATCATCGAGTATATCTTCTGCAGTGCCTGAGCAAGACTACTGTGAGCTTCAGGGGTGATCGAGGGCGAACCAGCTTCGGTATCACAGGGCAACCCCAACAAGCCTGCACGAATCGCATAGCCCTCGTTTCCATGACCATGGCTTCTGGTGGACATGTGGCTAGCCTAGGCGTATAGCAAGCAGAGCAGTTTTTAGTGGAACTATACAGTCGTCGGTTGAGTAGTAAGAACAGAATGAGTCTAGGATTGTAGGGGGATTCCTGGGTAATGTTATAACTACAAAATCCACTGCTTGTGCTGATGCTAGTGCTGCTGATGCACTATGCTAGTTCGGATCCCTCTGCAATTGAAATCCACCGGGTTCAAAGATTGAGCCCTTTCAGGATCCGGACCTATACAGACGGCCGGTTCGTGTTGGAACGACATGATCATGAACCCTCATGGTAGCTTTGCACTCACATCGCGAACAGCTCGGCGTGATTTTTTGTTTGCCGTACCCCAGGCTGAGCAAGGTGTCAGTGCATGCTAGGCTGTCGGGAGGAAGCCTCGATCGCTGTGCATTGGGTGTTGTGGGATTACAAGTGCCCGAAGCTTGCCAGCCAGAGCCAGCTAGAGGGTTTGTGGTTACGGGTGTGCCTACTATCGGCTAGTTCGAGTCTTTTTCTCAACCGAGAATATCTTCCCGACCCGACACTATACACTAGCTGCCGAGGCTGCGTGTCATCAGACATACCTCCGCTTTTTGGCTTCTTGCCAGGTGAACAGCTTCAGGACCTCCGATCGTTCTTCGGAGTCTTTCCAGAGCTCCTCCTTTTCGTGCTGCTTGAGACTTTTGTCGCACCTTGCAATCATATATTGGATGCAAACGAACAGCACTCGAGCCGCACCAATAAGGAATGTGCAAGCCGTGTGGCTGGGCGAGAAACCTCTTTTTCTCCGTGCCGTAAGCCGTGTCGTTCCTCTTCACCGGCGTCTTGGCTTCCGTCCACGTGTCCTCGGGCATCTTGGAAGCTTCGGTTGCTGTTGCTGCTTCTGCTGCTGCCTGCTTGGCTGCTGCATGTTTGGCTGCTGGTGCAGGTGTCTTGCAAGTCGAAGCCAACTTGGCTGCTTTGTTGCTTGCAACTAACAGCCGCTGCCGGTGCGGATTGACAGCTGTGTGCTTGCCGCCTAAGCAGCATGAGAAGGCTAGTTGTGTCTCCGGAGCCAATCCCTCCAAAGACAAATACTTTTCGTCGAGATGGAACTCCTGAGCTACATATCCCTCTTTTCGCAGCAGCTGAATATTGATTTTTGTCCAAGCTGCCGGGGGACCATCTGTCGTCCTCTCTCGCTCATTGACCTTGCAAAGACTGCGACACCACAATAAACATGCATGTGTGTGTCCACATGATGTGTGCGTGTGTGTGTGTGTGTGCCATGCATGTATATATATATATATATATATATATATATATCAACGTGAAAGTATATATGTATATATATATGTACACGTGCACACATGTGCACGGGTTTCTATGTGTGTACATGCACATGTATGTGTGTATATACATAGATACATATTTCTATATATATATGTATATCTGTAAGTATGATCATCATATGCTTACCAGCATTGTACATGCTTTAATTGCACGTATACCTACACAACATGTGACCCACTGGTGACACGGCTTGGCCCGGCCTTTGGCTTGTTCCAATACTGCAGCTCATCTTCCTGAGAAGGGATTCATGGGGCTCTATAGGGCTATAGGGTTTGGGGAAAAGAATCGACATCTCGGTCGGGCGAGTTGCGACCCAGGCAATGTGGGCCTGGCCATCCTTTGCCCTCTGCTCCGCAATCTCACCCATCTGCGTGCAATACATGGGTGCATGGGCTCGTGAAGTTAGGAAATGCATGGTGATCACAGAAAGCACAACATGCATGTGTACACACATGTATGCATGCAATGTAAATTATATATATATATGTATATACATATAAAGTGTTTTGTGGGTATATGTATATAACTAAATAAGTAAGAGTTAACACATATATCTATGTATAAATATATTTATTGATTTTCTTTATATGTGTGTGCCTTATACATCGAGCGGCTCGCTGGAAATCATCTCCCAAATCTTGAATGTCTTTCAGCAGGGCCTTTGCCGTTGCATCATCCTTTTCAGCGACGGCCTCGGTTTGGTAGCACACGAACATTTGTAGGGTGTTGGGTTTACAAAGGATTATAGGGCTACAGGGTTTAGGTCGCCTCGATTTGGGATCATAGGAACAATCGTAGGGTGTTGGGTTTACAATTACACGGTTTAAGGGTTCATGGGGTTTAGGGTTTGGGTTTTCGGGAGGATCCCACCTCGTCCCAGCCCGACAAAGCTTCAGCTTGGTTCCACCATGCGGCCTGGCAAGGGGGCATGCATGCGTGAAATTGTCGGTCGGCGACAATCCCATCGATCCACCTCGCATGGCTCTTCCTTCACGGATCCGCTGCCCTCGGCACAGTACGATTGGCTCTTATACGGATTCTAGTGCACAACCTTTACAGACAGCAAGCCTTACCATCATCGGCCGGCCAGGCTTCCTTCTCCTGTTTGGCGAACGGGAAGACAGTGGCAAGATTGCGAGTGTCACGAGAAACAACGAAGTTTAGTTTAGGCTTATGGGTGTAAGGGTTTAGGGGTTGAGGTTGCAAGCCTCGACATCCCAGCATTCCTGGGCGTCTTCGATCTGTGGCTCATTGCCCTCGGCCAACATGGCGAGTTTATTTGTTGTCTAATCGAAGCAAGGAAGCATCACAATCGACGACAGAGGCAAGCCTTCTGGATCCGGCAATCGAGGTCGTCGATCTTTGGCTCGCTGCCCGGGTCCTCGGGGAAACACAAGTAACAATAAAGCTTCAGCTTGCTCCTCTGCCCACCATTCCGCCTGGTGGTCTTCGATCTTTGGCTCTTTACCCGGGTCCTCGGAATTATTATTGCGGGAAACACAAGTAACAATAAAGCTTCAGCTTGCTCCTCTGCCCACCATTCGTCCTGGTGGTCTTCGATCTTTGGCTCACCCGGCTCCTCGGAATTATTATTGTGGGAAACACAAGTAACAATAAAGCTTCAGCTTGCTCCTCTGCCCACCATTCGTCCTGGTGGTCTTCGATCTTTGGCTCACCCGGCTCCTCGGAATTATTATTGTGGGAAAGACAAGTAACAATGAAGCTTCAGCTTGCTCCTCTGCCCACCTTCCTCCTGGTGGCCTTCGATCTTTGGCTCCTTGCCCGGGTACTCGGAATTATTATTGTGGGGTACACAAGCAACAATGAAGCTTCACAGCAAGCCTCCTCAGCCCAGCATTCCTCCTCGGGGTCTTCGATCTTTGGCTCCTTGTCGTCCTCGGGTGATATACTAGAAACAACGAAGCTTGGCAACATCATCAATAACAACCTCACTTGCAAGCCTCCTCCCAGCATTCCTCATGGTCTTCGATCTTCTCTGACTCGTTGTCCTTGGCCAACTTAGAAGAAACAACGAAGCTGCAGAAGAACACCACCACCACCAGCAACAACAACACTAACACCAACACACCAACACTTCCAAGCCTCCTCCCAGCTTTCCTGCTGGTCTTCCCTCTTTGGCTTGTCGCCCTCGACCCTCTCCTTAGCATCACGGTTGAAACGTGTATTTGGAATCCACACAAGCGACAACAATTGGATGCATACGAAATTCATCATCTGGCCACTCTGCTTCGCCAATGCCATACCCCTGAGTGCGAGATCATAGGCTCAGAACTACAACCGTCAATCTGCATTAATGATCGATGCGTATCCAAGGGTCTGCATCTTCTTCCGTCCATTCATTTCTCTTTCCATTGTCCTGTGCGAACCGAAAGAAGCAACGAGTTTACTTAAGGTTTAATTTTCAGGTTTTGGGGTTTAGGGTTTAGTTTTTGTTTAAGCAAAAGGCTTTGGTAAAGCATCAGTGTCCTCCACCGGATCCTCGGCCCCATTTCCACTCGCCTCAAATCACGATCTCGTCAATAATTTAGAGAAAGCACCCCAACAAAACCCCCCACCAGCCTCATCCTTCGCCCACTCCGAAGGGCACTTCGGATCCTCACCATGGGGCACCCAAATCCCCGCACCACAGCTTAAGCTATATACATGAATCAAGCGAGAAGCGAAACGGATGTTGTCCTCCACCGGATCCTCGGCCCCATTTCCAGTCGCCTCAAATCACGATCTCGTCAATAATTTAGAGAAAGCACCTCAACAAAACAAACGACCCCACCAGCCTCATCCTTAATCGCCCACTCCGAAGGGCACTTCGGATCCTCACCATGGGGCACCCAAATCCCCGCACCACAGCTTAAGCTATACACATGAATCAAGCGAGAAGCGAAACGGATCTTGTCGTGCTGGGCATCCTTCGGTGCCTGTGGCCGACATGAATGTATATATATATATATATCTACATACGAGGTAGAATGGTATATAGTTCTAACTCAGACCCAACCTCGGCACCAGCACTTTCCTCAAGGACTTGGGCAAGGTGTGCCTGGCAACAGTATATATATATATATATACACATCGACTGTTTCTTAGTGAATACAGTACGGTTTCGGGTTTAATGTTCAGGGTTATGCATATCTGCAGGGCGAAGAAAACCGATCCCTGCACTGCCGATCCGGATTGGCCTCCTCCTCCGGGGTCCAACCATTGCCGCGATCATGGCCATCATCAGCCAGGGCCTGCGAGTCATCGGCTTTAGAAACAATTATAATCGGCAAACTCACAATGCTCCCAACGATCCCTGGTGATCACAATGGTTCCTGGTCGCTCGAAGAGATCGACATTCACTTCCCACACCCCCAGCCACACCAGCATCAAACTGAGAAGCACTGGGACCCTGTGGTAGAGAACCTGGTTGACCATCATTATTGACTGGACGACTTGTAGCACCCTGCGCGTACTGCATGCTATTCTGAAAAGGACCCTCCTGCTCGCGATTGTGTTCCGAAAGTCCAGGTGGATTGCCTCCGGGAACAAATTTCCTATCCGCTGAAGACGACCTTCTCACCGATCCCAGCCGAAACGATAAACCACCTTCATCCCTTCGACCTCCTTCAGCAGGCTGCCCTCCCACATCACTAGCACGTCCCGGTAGTCCCAAAGGATTGCCGCCAGGTAGTGTATGATCGTGGCCATCAACCTGCCCTCCTGACCCTCCGAAGCGTCCTAGTAGCTCTGAAAGATGCCCTCGTGGTTCACTAAGACTCCTCGATCGATCAACTCGTCCGCGCCCATCATCGCCTCCACCTCGATGAGAGGGAATTCCTCGCGGTACCCTATGCGACCCCAGATCAGCTTGTAGCCTCTGTTCGTCATTCTGCTCCCGAGGTCCCCTTCCACCCTCTAGTGGTTCCGGTGCTTGGGCTCGCGGCCCCTGCTCACCCTCCAGCTCGCGATTGTGTCCAGAAAGTCCAGGTGGATTGCCTTCGGGTCCGCCTCCTTCTCGCACACCTCCACTCGCGGCCGTAGGTAGCTGCAACATTCGCTGCTGCCGACCATTTCCTTCAGCTTCTCTAGCCTGAGCCCTCACAGCCTCTAGCTCTGCTCGAAGCCTCCGGTTCTCATCAGACAAACCCTGTTGTCCCTGCATCGCCCGTTCAACTTGTCGTCGTACTTCTTGCTCCATCTGCTCCCGGGTATACGACGATGTAGAGTCCGAGCCCCCATTTCTCGGTGCTGTAGCACCATACAACTGAGGCGCCGCCAATGTCATTTCTCGCAAACGCCTGGCCTGCGTGTTGTCAAACAAAGGCTGGGACTCCGAGCTGCCCGCTCCAGCTCTTCTCGCTGAACCTCCTGGCGACCAAACCGTCTCCTGCACCACTGTAGTCTCCAGACCAGGCCGGCTCTGTTGAGCCACGCTCCGCTGCACGTAATCTCCCAGCCGTGAAAACCATCTGACAGCCGTTGCCCCATGATGGGCAAACGAAACACCCAGTCCAGCTACTGGCGAGCCAGCCACTTGTCCCGGATCTGTCATTGGTGATGGCAAAGGCGAAGGAAACAAAGCTCCTGGCACCTCTGAAGTTGCTGCCCTTGCTGCAGCCTCTGTGCCCATCGCCGCATGCGGAAGTAGAGGTCGATCACGCTCCACTGGTCCTTCCGATACAGGAGAACGAAAAACATCTGGATTTCCCGCTGTCGCAGCTGCCGTAGCTTCCGCTTCGGTTCCTCGTAAACTTCCAGAAAAGGCTTCTGCGTTAGAGTGATCCGTCGTACCGTGTCCGGTTTCCGCTCGTGTCGCGCCCAATCCGGAGGCCTCCAAGGCTCTAGTATAAGCTGCTTCATCTCCGGCTACACCAGAGACCGGTCTGTCCACTCCATTTAGGAGTGCCGGTCGTTGATCTCCTTGGTCTCGTGACCGCGCAGCATCGCCACTTGGGCTCATCACCTGCTGATAAGCAGAAGGCAAATCAGCATGCGGTGAGCGGGAGTTATCCATCGCACTATCGAAGCTCGCAACAAAGTGTGCCCTACATGTAAGCGCTCGGGCATCACTGTCCTTTTTTCTTGAGCCATGCATCCGTCGTCGGAATTGTACAAGGTGACAACCGCATAAACTCTGCACATCGGAAGATACCTGTGGCCGAAATCTGGAATCTGCACAACCCTAAACCCCTAAACCCCTAAACCCCTAAACCCCTAAACCCTAAACCGGAGGGGAGGAGGGGGGAGGGGGGGGGGGCCGGGGGGGGGGGGCCGCCAGAGGCGGCAGGGCACAAGAGGACGCACTATCCCAAACGACCAGGTAAGCACGAGGCTGAAAATGTTTTTGTCGAGTTCGCAAGAAACAGCAATCTAGACATCTAATAGTCATCACTTGTGACTGCGAGCAGGTAAGGCCGCGGCCGGCAGGATCAAGAGGGAAAACAAAGCTGAGATCCACGAAGGCAGCGGCCCAAGTTCGTTTCATTGAGCTCCCGGTCTTCCATGGTTCCAAGATGTTCCAAGCGAGTTCTAGATTCCAGGTGCGAAAACCCTAGCAACTTCGCAGTGATCGGTGGCGGACACATGCACCTCCCCAAATCCCAAACAAGGCACAGCAACTCGGAACGCCACAATCGGCTCCATTAGAGGACCATATATCCTCTAAGCGGAATGAATGTCAGGAAATCTCCAGGACAGTAAGTGACCGGGCATACTTTGTTCGGCTGGCTTGTGGCGTGGGCCCTTCTCCGCGGTGGTGAGACAGCAAGAACTCCGGCTTGCAGGGACAGGGGGCCTAGGGCTTGTAGAGCTTGACATTGGCTAGATAGTTGGGAACTCTGCCAATGTGGCCTAGTGCAGGTGCGCAGCATGAAAGCGGGCGACTCAGCGCCGTCTTCAACCGCAAGACATTTCTGCGGCGGTGGCACTGTGTGGCTGGACCTCACTCCTGCCGCTCCTTGCACACACGTAAGTGTACATCGGGCAGATTACCATCTCCGGTCCAGCAGAGCCAGTGCCAGCTTGAACAGTGCCCCCTTTCTCGTGTTTCTAGAGCTGAGACCCCGAAAACAGCCTGCGCAACACGATAATGATCCCAAGGAACATTTCGCCCCTGATCGCTTCAGCTCGACCAATTGCTTCTCAACTCCTGACCTACCTCCGTCGCTGTTATACACACAGCACAGAAAAAATCACCTACCAACCTACCTGCCACACGTATACCGTAGATCCATGTCACATTTCTACCTAGACACACACGCACGCGATCGCACACCTGTACGCAAAGCGAATCAAAGTCCGACTCCTTCATCCCCAACATCTTCTTCGCTCGCGCCAGGCCTTTGGCCCAATCGTCAGCCTGTCGGTGCAAGTTACAGCAGGGTACCCCCTGCGGCTATCAGCTCAATTGCTTAGGACGTTGTGCTTCGGTTTTCACGACTGGGGGGATGATGTAGTGCCCTAGGCCTGAGGCCTCGCGTCCAGGTGAAGCTGAAGCCGGTTGCGGGTTTCAGTGTGTTGACATCCTGAAGAAGGATATCAATGGTGTCGTGGTCGTTCCCGGCTTTCCGCTTGCTTGCATGATGCTGAGGATCTCTCGTTGTCTTTTCAGCTCATCTGCGGAGGTAAAGACAGCTGGCGGTGCAGTTATGCTCGCAATGATGTGCGACATCACATCATCAACTAAGAAATAATAGACTATGTAAATTCAACTCCCAGACCGGAGGGCGAGGGCCAGGGCCCACCGGAATCAAGGGCAGCGAGAGCACCGCCATGGTCGTCGCCATCCTCTCACGGTGCCGGGCCGTTCCAGCTCCAAGGAGAGTGTGTGAGCTTCTGGTGTTTCGGACTTTTGTGGGGAATGGCCTGGGGCCTGGGCCGTGCTTGAGAGGCGCTTGGCTGCAGTTTCATTACTCTGTCGTTGGTCGCGCAATAAGATTCTCATGTTTTTCCGAAGCACTGAAGTGTGCAAGGGCGAGCACCTTGTTGGGGCTTTCTCGGGTGCTGCTTCCTATGTAGACGCACCTTGCACTGCAGTTTGACCTAGGAAACGGGACTGAGAGGGGACAAGGAGGAAATGCCAGTAGGCCCCTGGCATGCCGCCCCGCTTGGCCAGCTTCACCAAGTCCAGGCCACTCTCACCAACATCACGAAGCATGCCTGGCTGCCGTGACTGGACGTCTGCGAGGCAGTACCTCTCGCACACTGCGTGGAACTCCAAGCCGGCCACACTTCCCATGGCAATCGACATGCAGGCAGCGGGCTGTATGGCCAGCGTAGAAGCCTGAGCCATCCACAGCTCCGCTGCCACCACGGGCAACCTACCAATTGCAGCCTTTTTCTCCGTGAGAGTTCGAAGATGCCTGTGGAACAGAATCTTGTCTGGCGAGGCTCTGTGCATCTTCGCTGACATCCTGCTTGAAAACCAACTCTAGATAGATCGGAATGCAGGATTTCAAGCTCTGTACAAACCTGCACCGGGGCTGCTTGAAAAAGGTTGAAACCTTAAACCAACATCACCACGTGAATTATGCGGCTTTTGCGGTGCTGGGCTGGATCAGGACAGGTGTGTGGGTTTGGTAGTTGCAGATATTACCCACGAGGTTGTACAAGGACACGGCATCTTCGCGGCTGGGCTGCGTGTTACCGTGCTCCGTCATGGCACGAGACGCCACCTGGGGCTTTTCGGGGCTGAAGAGCTCTCAGGATCAGGACTGAAGCTAGGTCTAGGATGTAGGGCAAGTCTGCCATGCGTAGGGAGAAATTCCACACTGCAGTGCCAGTACTACTGGACTATGGGCCCACATGCTGCCAGAATCTTCAATCTTAACCTCCTTGAGCTCAGCCCGGCAAACGGGCCTGGAGGGTAAGGGGCTGCCCTTTGGCAAGCTGGCCCTTCATGTCCTCGGTGAGAGGCACCTTCTTGGACCACCAGTACCTGTGAGAGTAGGGTCAGGTGAAGGAATGGTGCCCCGAAGCCTAAATCCCATTACAGACAGATTCACATGTCAGGCTCAAGGGGCCACGACCAATGATAGTTCCTTCTGTGGACCTTCTCCATGCCATGGTCGTCCAAATCAGCCGGCACGTAGGTCTTACCTGGAGGCCGGCCCGGGAGCAGTATATACTATACTCTACTGTGCTACAATATACCTTACTTTACTATACTACACCATTATATATATATATATATATATATATATATTTATTTATTTATTTATTTATTTATTTCTGTATATATATATATATATATATATATAGTATATTTCAGTGTATGGGTCACCGAAGCCCCGAAGCCGCGCACTGCCCTGCACCTCCGTCAATGGAGACATCCACGCGGGCGATGCGGTGGCCGCCGCCACCCAAGGCAATGCCGCGAACCTGTTGCAGTTCGTTCTACACTCTACTATAGTTGTAGTACAGTATAGTATGCAGCTCGGATCTCCAAACCCTGACAACAAAAACTCAAGTCTCAATTTCGTAGTCCCGCGTGTTCAGTGCTGGTGGCTTCGCTTGGCCGACCTCGATGCCATCAGCTGCGACCTTCGATGCCTCCTGCCCGGACCTGAGCCATGTTGCACTCGGATTCAAACTTCCGTCGCGACGGGCCTGGTTTGATCTCCCGAATTCAGGGTTCGGCTTCGGCCTTCGCGACTTGGCCAATAGCATGCTTCGCGCGCTGCAGCACGAACAGTTTAGCAAGACGAGGCATGTTCCGGTCAGCCTATCCACCCATTGACAGGCCCCCATAGCGAGTTACGAGCGAACCCAGGTTGACCCAGGACCAGCGAAGCCAACACTCGCTGCAAGCGCTCAGGCCCAGGGGCAGGGTCGTGTTCACCTCCGGGAGGATAACACTGCTGTGGACGGGCATTTCCTCAGCTATGGCCAACTGAGGAGGAGTTGGGCTGGGCTAAAGCTAAAGGAGGCTTTCGCCGAGTCTCCATGACTCTGAAGATGTCGTTGTCCTGCTGCACCTCCCATCTACCGGCCCTTTGGACCGTGCCGCCTGTCAGCGAAGTCTTGGCGAGATGGTCCTCAAACGTCATGTTTGGAGGATAAATCACCTCATCGGTGTGCGTGTCGACGTGGCTTTCGTGCAGCTCGTCGGCCAACTCCATCTTCGCCAGCCACTTGCAGTTTCGCACGCCTGCATAACCCGGCACAAGCACCCGAACAGGGTAGCCGTGGTCGGGAGGGAGCGGCTCGCCATTCATGGTCATAGCGAGAATTACATCGCCAAAGGGATCGATCGCCTTTTCTAACGGGATCGTGACACCAAAGCTGGAGCCTGTCTCATCTGCATCATGGCCGGTGAGTCGCAGATACTTTGCAGGGAGCGGCTTTGTGCCCAGGGCGATGGCATCAACATCGACCCCACACATACGCAGCACGTCTCGGCACTTGACGCCCGTCCAGACAGCATGGCTGCCCCAAAAGTTGTTGTTGATTTCATTTCTTGGGAAAGCCTCCTTTTCCCATGTCTCTCTGTTGTCAGTACGATGCAGGTATCTTGGATAGAGTGCAGCCCCGCCACAAATCATTGTAGCTTCCACTGCGTTCTGCTGCATTGATCGTAGGTCCTTGAGTCTGAAGACCTTGCCATCCTTGCCTGGAACGCTGACCTCAAACTCATACTCCTCTTCGACATCCTCCCAGCTTGGCACTGGGAAATGATTCCTCACATAGAATCCAGACAAGGGAGTTCTGAAGGAGTCGAGCAGATACTTGCCCATGAGGTTGGCCCAGCGGGGAGCTGTCGCAATCGTTTGCTGCAGCTTCCTCGGCGGCTCGTTCTCAAAAAAAAAAAAAAAAATCGTCTCGTCGTAGGACCTCTTGGCGTCCTTCGGTGTCAGGCGGCCCACCAGGCAAGTCCTGTCAAGGAACTTGCTGACGTCCGGGTGTACATGATAAACGTCGAAATACTTTTGGAGGTCGCTTCCAGCCGCCATCTGAATCCTTCCTGGGCCGCCAGGATGGATCTTGGCGAAGTTGGTAATGTCGTACACGTGCCCATGGTACGAAATCCATAAACCTTCCTCCAAGTTATTGTGGCTTCTGAGCTCCTTCAGGCTTATGACTCGGAGCTCCCCGTCCTTTGGTACTTCTTGGTTTGTGGCCACTGGAGCTCCCAGCGTCTGGCGGTGAGCGACCTCACAGCCACAGGAGCCCTTTGCCACGCCGGCCAGAAGGCCCGCTCCTGCGATCCCAGCCGCATACGCCCAGGCCGGTCTCGGAGCCCTGCCTGGCTCCGGTGCCCTCGCGGCTTGGCAGGCGCGCTGCAGTGCTGGTGCCAGCCGGACGAAGGAGCGCATGGCTGGATCAAGTACTGTGAACTTTGAAAAGCCTCTTGAGAGAGCGAGTGGGAGCCAGAGCGTGACACGAGGGCGAAGCATTCTGCGAGGACTGAGGCGGGCACAACCAGAAAATACGAGAAAGGCATTCCAATCATGGCAGTTGCGTAGTTCACAAACCTGGCGGTCTGCAGAGCCGGTCCCTTCCTCACACAAGGCAAGCAAACACACCCGGGCGTGTGCAGACAAGCAGCTGCACACCGTGAGGGTCTGAACTTTTGGGCGTTTCACGTCACGAAACTTGATCCGACATCTCCCAAGCACGAATTGCAGGCAGGCGGGCCAATTGGGGAACAGCGGCGACACGCGCAGGAAGAACATGTACCGAAACCTCGGCAGTCCCGAGACCATTTGAAGCCTTTGCTGCCACGTCTGCAGAGTCGCCGGGTCGGGGCTTCAATCACCAGAGAAATCTGTCCTAGTCCACAGTCCTTGGCGGCCAGCATGGAGCCCTGGAACTTGTCCATCTCCTGAAGCTTTCAAGGCTCCGAGCTGTTGTTGGGAGCCAAACGGCAGGACCTGCTTCTTGGAAGTTGCAGGAGCCTCTAACTTCGTTCTTCCGACTGGTAGCTTCTCCAAGCCCCTCTTGCATGTCTGTGAACCCGGCATCGCTTGCCGGTCTTGCCACTCTTCGGAAGTATACAGGGTAACAGACATGTAGTTCACTTCTGGTGACGACAAGTAACTAGTAGTTAAAGACAGAATCAGCCCTGTCCTGCTTCAATGTCGCCATCTTCTCGGCGGCAAACTGGCAGCAAAGCCACGCTGCATGTGACCCAGTTAGTTTTGTGACAAGTTTGACATGAGCCTTGCAGGCGTGCACGCAACCCGCAACAACACATCGAGCTTGGCCAAAGCCAAGCCGTCATCACCAAACGGCTGGCAGCGCGTGCAAGAGGATCTCTCGACCGATGCAGTACGACCTGAGAGCAACCGTAACAGCTTCCGGTAAGTTCAGGGGTCTGAGGTTTTAGCATTCAGTTCAGGACTCCCAGGACGTATGGAATAAGGTGGAGTCTATAGTAAGGTTGCAGGCCTTCACTTGCGCTGCACATATTCTCGGTCCGTAAATCAAGGGTCTCAACGTGAGACTCATACGAATCTTCCGGCTGAGCCAGACGGCATGATCCAGCCGCCAGCTCCACCACAAACCTCACAAGAAGGTCTGGCCCACCCACAGCCCCCCCCCGGCCCCTCGCCCAGCACAGCCACAACCTAGTTTAAACCGGAGAAAATTCCGGAATCTAAACTACGAGTAGGGGTCGCTCCACCCCCGCCTCGCCACTCACGCCCAGGAGGTGCGCGAGAGCAGAGTACTGCCTGCGGCGGTCAGCTCGAAATCGGAGGCAGAACGCCGAGTGGTACAGGTACAGGTACCAGTAGGGCTCAGCAGGGTCAGGCTTCCAAGCCTTGCCCTCTCCATGAGATATGCTCCCAACTCCCCCTTCCTCACTTCAGGATACTATCCGATGGCATGTTGGAAAGCTAGGTTCGCGACGTGTTCGGTTCGGCCCATTCATCGTAGAGCGCACCGATCAGTACCTGTCGGCGGCCAGGTGGGCCAGGATTACTGGCAGAGCTACTCGGCCATTTCTGCTTCGGCATATACTGGTACCCAAATCGCTCGAGGTTTCTCGTGACGTTGCTAGCTGCTGCGGGAACCCTCCCACGTTGAAGAACCAGTCCCTGGACCCCGAAGAATAAGAAACCGCCCAGAATGTCTCAAGCCTGAAACCAAAGCTCGAGCTCAAAAATCCTTTGACACCCTGGAGGCTCTAAGCCCGAAAGGCCCCACCCTGAAGAGCCGTTGCGCACTGAGAGCACCATTGAGGTGCCGGCACCGAAAGGCCCAAAGATCTTGAAGATCACCTCGAAATCGTCGTACATTGATGTAGTTCTCGCGTCGCCGCTTAGCAAGAGCTGGGCCCGCAGCGTACATTCCCCAAATGCCAGCTGTAGTGTGCCACCTGGGACAGTGTTCAAATCTATCCTGCCACCTATCCACCAGCCAACAGTCTCTCCTGTAGCTTCGGGGCTGTTTGACCTGTCCGTGCGTGCTTGTCGGGGCTTGGACAGTCTAGATGTCTGTGTACACCGGGACTCTCT